CATCTCATGGTCTTCACTTAAGTTTCAACTTAGTGTTGATCATGCATAGCTAGCCTCTTCAAGGCATGTTCAGAGCTATTGACTAAATGCATTGGTGAGCTTATTGCGGTTGAGTTGGATTCGAGTGGTCATTTAGTTTGTGCTTGTCTATGAACCTTTATCTCGTTCATGAGGTGTTACGTTCATGTTGGACAAGTATATAACTCGAATGCATGAGTTTAGTGTTGGGTCTTGTAAAGGCAAGTTGACAGAGTGATTGTTAGTTGCTCTGCGACTAGTGATTGCTTGTAGACTTTGTCAAGGACTGTTGACACTTGTTTCACTCAATGATGACTTAGCAGTGATGGGCTTACTTTACCGGATGGTGTTGCGAAGGATCGTGTCGTTAGACTTACATGGTTTTTCCATGTTGGCAAATCGACTCTACTTCTGTCGATATCATTTGGTTGTGTTTGGTTCATAGTGTTGGATTTCATAAAGTCTTGGACGTGGTGAATCACTCCTTGATGATGTATTATCTGTAGCTGAGTATTGTTGAAGGATTAGTCTCGGATACTGAGTAAAGTATCTTCGACTTTGGTTAGCTTAGTTGCTAAAGAGTTTTAGGTGGTGATTCACTCTTGCTTTCTTCTAGCTTTGTTCTGGTGTTGATGGCATTGAAGTGATGCCTTATCATTGACATTGTTGTTATTGCGATTTGAGTGAGATGAGATGTTTCTCCTTAGGATTGACATTGAGTTTCATTAGTCTTAATGAGGATAGTGTTGATGATTTGACTATAGCTATGTGTTATTGGCATTCATGCATTTGCTAGTTAGCAACTATATTGACGTTCAAACGAGCTGAGTGGCAAGTTTGAGTTAGTTGTGTTCTAGACGAGATTATTTAGTAGGGGTTGAGCTTTGGCTTTTCCTTGAAAAATGATTTAGTCGTGAACTATGCTAACTCTACAAGTGGAAGAGTTAGTGATCAATATTGAAGTGATCAAATTCTTGTTGGATTTGAGTTGGGATATATTGATCCTTGATGATTCTTCTTGTGCTTGTTATGAAGTGAGTTACGTCTTGCTATAGATGGATTCATGGAGGATCGATTAGATGATCACTTGTTGAGCATAGCTTCGTTATGCTTAGCTTTTGGATTGATCCAGATATGCTCTTCAATAGCTTTGGCATTATGAAGTTTAGCTTATAGATGTGTTGAGGAAGATATTGTGGGTTGCACCATGATTTCTTCTTTGGCATTTAAGTTAGTTCATGCAAGGCTTGTGATCATTATTAGGCAAGACTTGGTTATAGGCTTCTTCAAGCTTTTGGTTCTTTGAGTTTTATGCTCATTGTTCCATTTGTTAGGAGTTGTTGGGGAAGGCATTTTGGCTTGTTAGCTTCGATGTTAAAGTTGGCTCTTGCATCTGGCAATCATTGTTAATGATTGACTGTCATTTAGGATATTGATTATCCTTGTCAAAGGTGTTGCTTTGTTATTGTTGATATAGAAGGATTCGCTGTTCTTCAGGATGGTAGATTCTTTCTTCAATGATGATTATGCATTTCTTTCTTGATAGGATGATTAATGATCTTTCATGATGGTTGGTTGTTTTCTTTGATAGCTTTTGGCTTTTCGCAATACCGCATGTTCTTTGTAGTTTGCTCTGGATTGGTCTTTTGGGTTTGAGACATCAGTAGGATGTTGCTGACACTTGCTTAGGCAACTTGAGTTCCTTAGTACTGTTGGCTGGGATCTATTCAGATGGGCTTTTGTGATAGTTGGCAGGAGTGAGTGTTTGTTGGTCTTACCACATTCATTCTGTTCTGTTGATTATTGCTCGAGTTAGTTTTGATAGATTGGGATGTTATCCTTTGGGTGATACATTCGCGAGCATTTTGCTTGTCAGTCAATGATACTTTGTGTTTTTTGAGTTATCTTTCGTAAGTTGTTGTAGATTTGTGAGTCGAAGATCGAGTCCAAGACTGACTCTGAGACCAAGTTTGAGATAGAGTCTGGGATCGAGTCCGAGGTTGAATTGGAGACCGAGTTCAAGACAGAGTCCAAGATCCAAATCGGGTCCGAGACCGAGTCCGAGGTTGAGTCCGAAGTCGAGTCCGAGATCGGGTCCGAGATCGAGTCCGAGATCGAGTCTGAGACCGAGTCCGAAGTCGGGTCTGAGATCGAGTCCGAGACTGAGTCCGAGTACTAATACGGGTCAAGGGGTGAAAGCCCAAAGCGTGCGTCTCCCGGGGGGGGGGGGGGCTGCAGGGGGTTCCAAAAGTATAGTAGGAATAGTGAGGATCAGGAACTAGTCTTGAAAGAACTCTTCAGTGGTGCTTTCAAATTGACTTAAGGTTGAGACTGGGTCTGAGAGGCCTTGGGTGGGAGTGAGCAGGGACTTGGGTGGTGCCAGAGGGGCCACCCCAGAAAGTGCTCAAGAGTAGCTCCCACTCTCGAAAGGGAAATTGACTATAGTGCTCCTAGCTCATGTGGAGTGGTGCCCCACTTGAGTACCATGCGGCTCATTGGTCCTCGCCCTTCCTAGGGGCTTGGGCCTTCCTTCGGGATGGAAGTGGGGGGGTAGAGGTACCCATACCGGGCCATTAGGCCATGGTGCTTTGCCCCGGCGTCCCGAAGCAAGTGTTGCACCCAAGACTTAGGATTTAGAGGGTCTTATGATCAAGTCTTGTGGTACCAAGGGGGTAAGGAACTTGGAGGCTTGGTGTGCTTGGCTGCTTGTGCCTGCGGGGAGTGTAGTTGAACCTTAAGTCTAGTCTAACCCGGGGAGGGGGATTGGGAGAGATTTGGGAATCCGTGGATGGATGGCTAACGCTCCGTTGCTCGTGTAGTGAGTAGCTGAAACCAAGTAGGACCAAGTAGGAGCTGGTAATATAGGTGGGAACCTTGGCGAGGGAACTTAGCAAAAGCAAAGGCAATGTTGGACAGATAGACAAGGTAAGCTGGCAAATTGGAAAGGAAAAATTTGTGGCTTACAATTTGGTATCAGAGCCTTTTCCTCAGTTCTAGTGAAGGATAGAGGCGGATTGCTAGGAGATGGCAAAGGCAAGGCAGAAACGAACCAAGGCGGAGACGGAACCTCCTCCAGAGCTGGAGCCTCCAGTCAAACAAGAGGCTATGGATGAGGAATCCTTGCATGAGGAGGACTCCAGTGAGGAAACTTCCAAACAGGAGTCCGATAGCGAGGTGCGGTCATCCAAGTCTCAATTGGACATTCTAGAAGGACAATTGGCACAGACCAATGCTCTGTTGGAGACTCTCATACGCAAGCTAAAGCGTGATGAGAAGCAGAAGAAAAAGCGAAAGACTGCAGATGCTGGCAGTGCAGAAGGTGTGGACCCTTCGGTAGGGACTGAGGCAGAACCAAACAAGGTCGAACAGACCAAAGTGGAATCAGTCCCTCAGGCAGTTCCCAAGTACAAACCAAAGCCCCCATCGGTTTTCAAGGGAGTGAACAACTATAAGGTGGTGAAGGATTAGTTTTATGATATGGAGGACTACTTTCGAGTGTTGTGGTTATCGAGCTCGGAGAAGGTCCCATGTGCAAAGCCATACTTGGCAAATAATGCCAGTCTTGGTGGAGAACAACGGAGGCCAATGAAGGACCGGTGGCCACTTGGGACATGATGAAGGCGAGGATCTATGCGACTTACGTTCCTCTGAATGCTACTCTGCATCTAAGAGACGAGCTGAGTAGGCTAAAGTAGATCGGAACCATTCAGGAGTATGTGAATGGTTTCATGGCAAAGAGGATACTTGTCATGGACATGGGGGATATGGATGCGTTCTATGCATTCATATCGGGCTTGCAAACCTGGGCTTGCGGCGAGGTGATGCATTGGAACCCGACCAATTACAAAGAAGCATTGGATGCGGCTATCAAGGTGCATTTCAATGATAACCTGCGAAAGGGGAACACGACGGGGTCGGGGTCCACGTTTAGCAAAGGGGCCAAACCAAGGGGAACATATAACAAAGGGAAATTCAAGAAGAGTTTCTCTAAGAATGAGTCCTCGGGGTTCCGGAAAGGCAAATCCGGTGGCCAACGAGCAAGTATGTGGGGGAGTCAAGCAAAAAGAGACAAACCCACGGATAAAAAGGTCAAGTCATTTAGCAGTGTGGGAAACAACGTATGCTAGAACTACGGTGAAGTGGGACACTTTTCGAGGGAATGTCCCTACCCGAAGAAGGCCAGAGCTAATATGGCCATTAAGTCGGGTGAAGTGTAAATTGAGGTATGTGATCCAGTCCCTAGCTCAAAATTACTCATTACCCGAGCAACTTTGGTAGAGAGTCATGAGAGAGTTCCATGTGAAGTGGAAAAGATTTCCACACTGTGAAGCAACATGGGAACTGAAGGAGATCTAGCGAACACACGAGATCTAGTGGAGGAATTTTTGCAAAGCAGAACTCTAAGTACTTATGCAGAGTTCAATTAAAGTATCAATTCGTGAAGTTGAGCAATGGCATATGTTGGGACCCGAAGGTGTGCCGAAGGTAAGCTAATTAGCATGGGTTAGCTAGGTCGACCAAGCATAGGGAACTACACCCGACTCCCTACAAGGATGTCGAATCTATAGACGTATTCTACAGAGGTTGGGTTCGAGTCCCAACCCCTTAGTAAAGCAAGGTTGGGTTCAAGTCCCAACCCCATACTAGGGTGTGGTGAGGTGAGGAGTATAGAGACATCTATATTCCGTTGTCATGGGCTTTTGGCTGGGGAGGCTAACTTAGGCACACCGCTAAATGGGGGGATGCCCCCAGAGACATGGTCAACAAGTCGTAGGATAAAAAAAAGATGTTCGATGTGGGCATCGAACTTCTTCTATGGGTGGTGGAGTTTTAAGGAACCAACTCTCCAATAAAATTCAAAATTTGGCAAAAAGCTAATACAGATTTAGAGAAAAAAAAAAACAATAAAACAAAATCAAAAGCTTAATCCTAAACATTAAATAAAGTTTATTACCTTTCTTTTCCACTAATGTAAATGCTTGGGATATAAGAATAAATGTATTAATTAAGAAGGAATAGACCAGATTCAGTTACAAATACATACATACATACAAATTCTCTTTAATCCAAAAAGACCTTGGTATCAACCTGTGGAGCCTTGGTAAATGTTAGCCATCAATGAGTAGGCAGAGGCATCGCCACCATCGCCCATCTCCACCAGTGCCTCAAATGCAAGCTTTCCCACACCACTGCTTCCCCACTTTCTACACGAGCTCATGAGAGACTTCCACGCTGCTGGGCTTGCTCTCACAGGCATGATCCTGAGAATCTGGATTGCCGCATCTAACTCGTTGGCCCGGCTGAGAAGATCGATCAAACAAGTATAGTGGTCGATGCCTGGAGCCAGGCCAAACTCTCGGGTCATCCTCTCGAAGTAGAGCTTGCCTCTGGCCACAAGACCTGCATGGCTGCAAGCCGTGAGAAGGCAAACGAAGGTGATGGCGTCGGGCTTGCAGCCCTCGTCTAGCATGCTTGCAAAGAGATGGAAGACGTCGTCGGTGTCTCCCTGGCGACTGGAACCTGCAATGATCGTGTTGCAGGCGACCACATCTTTGCTTGCCAGTGACTCGAAGATCTGGAGGGTGTGGAGCATGCTTCCACATTTCCCATACACGTCCATGAGTGAGTTTGCAAGGATACCGTTGTTCTCCATTCCACACCGGCATATATCGCCATGGATTGGAGCTAGAGCTGCCAGGCTTCCACACGACTTGAGAGCGGCGACGAAGGTCTGTGCTCCAGGCTCCCACTCTCTCATCTCCAATCTCATCACCGAGAAGAGCTCCAGAGCGAGAGAGAACTCCCCGTTTTCCGCATAGCCGAGGAGGAGTGCTGTCCAGGAGACGACGTTGTGGCAAGGCATGGTGTCGAAAACCAAGCGAGCATCATCCAAAACACTCCCACACTTTGCGTAGACGTCCACCAGCGTGTTGGCCAGGAAGGTTTCGGTGTCAAGCCGGGCTTCCAGTGCTCGAGAGTGCACCAGCATCGTGTTTTCAAGACTTTGAAGCTTGACTAGCTTCCCATCGATCTTTCGGCCAGCTTCTTTCATCGCAAGACTGGCACAGGCGGCGAGAGCAGCGAGAAAACTGGGTGTATCGGCACTGCATCCTTCGTCTTGCATCCGAAAAAAGAGACTTAGGCTGGTTTCTTCCAGGCCTTTCTCAGTGTAGCCAAGGATGAGGGACGTCCACAGCACAACATCTCGACGAGGAGCACTGTCAAAAACTTGGCGAGCTTCTTCCAAGCTCCCACACTTGGCGTACACGTCTACCAGGCGGCTGGCCACGAACAAGTCCGAGTCGTAGCAAAGGCTCGACGCTTGCGAATGGATCACTCTTGCTTTCTCCAAAGAAGAGATCTTCATGAGCTTTCCATCCGCTTCCCGGGCCTGTTCTCTCACGGCTACGCTCGTCAAGGCCTTGAGAGCGGCGACGAAGACAAGCTTGTCTGGCTGGAAGTTTCCCATCTGGTCGAACAGTGCCAAAGCTAGCTCTCCCTGTCCACTGTCTGTATACCCGAGCATCAAAGAAGTCCAAGAAGCCAAGCTATGGCACGGCATCCCATCAAAGACCCTCCTGGAATCCACCATGCTTCCACACTTTCCATACATGTCGATCAGACTGTTCCTCACCCGGACGTCACAGTCGAATCCAAAAGTCGCAGCTCGAGCATGCACGTCCCTGCCTCTTTCCAGAGCTCTCCATCTCACAAAGCTCCCATCTCCGGCTAGAGTTCTCTCCTCCCTGGCTGCCAAGCTGCCGCAAGCGTTTAACGCAGTCACGAAAGTCACAGCGTCGGCTTCCATGTCTCGAGCTTCCATCCGTGCAAGCAAATCCAAAGCCATCTCCTCCTGCTTGTTCTCGACATACCCGGCCATGAGCGACGTCCAAGAGACCTTGTCCGGGTGCTTGATCCCCTCGAAAACCCTGCGCGATTCCTCCAGGCTCCCACACTTGATATACATGGCGATCAAGCTGCTAGTCACGAAACCATCAGTATCACACCCACACTCGGAAGCTTTCGAGTGAAGCGCCATACCTCTGTGGAGCGAGCTCGGTTTCACGAGCTTTCCATGGACGCGTTGGGCCTCCTCCTTGGCAGCGACGCTGGAGCAAGCCTTGAGCGCCGCGACGAGAGCTCGAGCGTTGGGCTGGCAGCCGTGGGCCTGCATTTCCTCAAAGAGCTCCAGGGCCGTGTCGCCATAGCCACTGTCCGTGTAGCCCAGCATCAAAGCCGTCCAGGAGACGATACCGCGGTGGGGCATCTTGTCGAAGACGGCGCGAGCCTCGGCCATGGCGCCACACTTGGAGTACATGCTGATGAGCGTGTTGGCCACGAATGGAATGGAGTCGTCCCCGGCGATGGCGGCATCGGAGTGGAGGATCCGACCTCTTTCCAAATCCCTGGAGCTGCCGCAAGATTTCAGTGCCGCCACGAGATGGCCGAGGCTACTCACCCCCGATTTTGGCTGCTGCAAATGCATTGTCCGCGACTCAAGCTCTACCTAGAACCCTAAAATCTCTATTTTCCCGCTGGAAGATACACCGCCTTTCGGGGAGAATATTCACACGAGAATATTCTCTTTCCTGAACACTCAAGAACCAGGGCAAGAGTGTCTTGGTTCATTTGATGGCGGCTATCGCCCGGGTGAGATTCCTCCGGCAGATCACAGGCGCCACGGATATTCTAGGTCGCCAGGGCTTCCAGGCGAGCGCGCGGGGATTCTTTGCGGCGGCGCATTTGTCCCCGGGATCATCCAGCCTCGACGATGGCGCCAGGGGCAGGAGGGAGAATTGGAAGGTCGCCAAGGGATTGGCAGCAGGAGCGGCAGCTTCGGTATCGTTCGCGGCGTCGATGATGAGCGTGGCGGCGGCCAAGGAGAGGCCTCCCACCGATCGCATGCCAAAGGAGGTGATCTTGTATCAATACGAGGCCTGCCCCTTTTGCAACAAGGTGAAAGGTACGCCAAGTCGATTTGGATTCCATTGCAGTGTGAGAGATTGAGGAGCCCTAGAAATTTTCTTCTTCGTTCTTCTTCTTTCCCAGCTTTTCTCGACTACTATGACGTTCCATACCGCATTGTGGAGGTGAATCCTCTAGGCAAGAAGGAGATTGCGTGGTCGGAGTATAAGAAAGTTCCAATCCTTATGGTAGATGGCGAGCAAATGAATGACTCGACTGGTAAAGTTCTTGTGGATTTGTGTTGTTCTTCCTCTCTTTTAATTGTTCTTCGTGTTTTGTCTCTAGAAATTATCAGCACTCTCGATGGAAAGCTCAATCCAAAGAGGTCGCCGGCTCTTACAGCAGCAGCCAAGGAAGAGGAAGAGAAATGGAGGAAGTAAGTAAATCTATGGTTCTTCGGATTCTCACCGTCAGGAAAAAACTTAATTTCCAGATGGGTGGACGGTCACCTTGTTCATTTGCTCTCGCCAAACATTTATCGATCGACCAAAGAGGCTCTGCAAGCGTTCGACTACATTACTCGCGAAGGTGATTTTTCCATCCTTTCTAATGCCGCAAGTTTTCATCTTGGCACCATTTTCCTCACAGGTAACTTCACTGCTTGGGAGCGAGCCACGGCCAAGTACGCTGGAGCAGCGGCAATGTACTTCATCTCCAAGCGTCTAAAGAAGCGTCACAACATCACAGACGAGCGCGCCGCCCTCTACGAAGCCGCTAATACGTGGGTGGAGGCTCTGGACAACAGGAGTTTCATGGGTAAGCAAGCTCCTCTCTTCGAAAACTTCGGAAACCAAGACTTTGAGATGTTTTCTCAGGTGGATCTAAGCCAAATCTCGCCGACCTTGCGGTGTTTGGAGTCTTGAGGCCCATCAGAAACCTCGACTCCGGGAACGACATGATCGCAAACTCCAAGATCGGTGCGTGGTACTCGAGAATGGAGCAGGCTGTGGGAAACTCCGCGAGAGTTTTAGCGCAGGAATCTTTCAAGACGCAGCCAGTGGAGATGTCAACATAGCTTTCAGTCTCTTCTTTTCGGTGGATCGATCGAGCCATAGAGAAGTTGCAAAGTAGAGCCACTAGAGAGAGAATAAGAACAGTGGATGTTCTTCGCAGTTTTGGAATATACGGTGTCTTACGTGGCTGCATTCTGTTGGACTACGTGTGCCGTTCACACACCACACTTAATGCGGATAGTTCGCTGTCCACGTGGCAAACTGCAATAGGCTGCCTTTCTAAAGGCGATAGGGCGATAGTTTTGCTGGGAGAGGAGAGAGAGAGAGAGAAAGAGAGAGGAGGGCACGATTTTGTTCTTCCTGGGCGATCGATCGATCCCTGGAAAGCTCTTTGGCGCAGCGGCGCCGGTCTTCGGCGCATGGATTAGCACAGATCGCTCCGCAATGAGGTTCGTAGCTTGCTCTAGTTGTCGATTGGAGACTGGAGTCGTTGCTTCGCAGAAATCTGTGTCAAATTCCCCAGGAGTAGCCGCAGGAGGAAGCAACAGGGTAGGATTGATAGGGAGTGTAGTAGTGTGTAGTAGCCAGAATCGTCATGGGGGTTTTCTTGGGTGGAGCATCATGGCAAAGCGTGGTGTTTCTCATTCTTCCGGTTCTCACAAGGTCTTCATTCTAGATTCTTCGTCATCGTCGCTTGCCCGGCATAGGTCGCATCGACGGGCTGGCAAATGCAATGCAATCTTGGAAGACCAAGGGTCGAGCGCTTCGTTTGGCACGGGAATTTGGAATAGCTTCTCCGAGTTCTTCCGGATAGTGATCCAGCAGGAGGAGAGCCCGCTCTTGGGCGAGAGTTCTTCGACGTCAGGCATCCATCTCCACAAGAGTTTGAGCGAGCTGCCTTTGATCCACGTCTGCCCGACGTCCATCCCGGCTGCCCACGACCTCGACTCGGCGGACGAGGTGTTGAGCCAGCTTCTCTACGCGGGCTTCGGCAGGATCGGCTCCACTTTGGACGGTTTGCTCGCCGTGATCTTCCCCTCGCTCGGCGATCCCAGCGGCGACATGGCGGACGTGAAGATGGATCCAGTCGCGGAGCTGTGCGCTCCGTCCAGCCGCTGCGTCACGGCCGAGGATTTCTCCGGCTCGCTCGACCAGTTCTACGCATGGCTCAAGGAGAGGCTCCCGCAGGGTGGCGCTCTGTTGGATCTCTGGGGAACAGCTCCGGGAACCAAGCGCGTCGCCAACTTATGGCGAGAGCTCCTGGAGGGCGAGATCTCCCTCGAGGACTCGCGCCCGCCCAAGCGGACTGTTCACGTTGCGAGCGTCCAGATCGTGAACGAGAGCGGCGAGATGCTGGTGGAAGCGTACCAGGAGATGGCGGACGGGAGGATCCGGCCCAGGAACCGGCCACTCTCGGAGAAGATGCGGCCCGGCGAGAGCGTGGAGGAGGCGTGCTTGCGCGGGATCTCGGAGGAGCTGGGCTGCGCGATCGATCAGGTGGCGCTACTGCGCGAGAGCTACCAGAGAGTGGAGGAGGAGCGGGAGTCCTTCTCCTATCCGGGGCTCTCGACCAGGTACGTGATCCATACGATCACCGCGCATGTCAAGCAGCTCCCTCAAACGGACTTCGACACGGAGGAGGACGAGGATGGGAATGGCGGTGGCGGTGGCGGTGGCGGAGCGGCGGTGTTGGTGGCCGCCAGTGGAAGAACCGCGACTGCTACCAGCTGCCTGGGCGGCGCGGTGGGCGTGAGGAAACATTTTTGGAAGTGGGTACAACAAGCTCCATAGTAAAATTCATGGAATTCCCGCGAAATAACTTCATAGATATGATGATCATTGAAAGCCATAGTCTTCCATGGTTTATAAATTACTTGATCAAGGTGCGAGATCTCTTCCATGGTTTAGATTTTATTTGATAAAGGTCATCAAGGGCGTGACGTGAGAGAATCTGTTCGGGAATAATCTTGTGAGAGGGATGCTGACGCCGTGTCAGCAGACAGTGGTGCCAGCTCAGCTGGCCAGACATGTCACACGAATGATGTCCCCCTCAACTGCATTTTAAGATGATTGGTTTCTAGCCAAAGTATCGCTACGCTTGATTTAGTAGAGCGTGCTAAGGCCAAACTAAACAAATATCTATATTTGAATGGACGCGTCGACGTGGGGTTCGAATCCTGCCAACACAAAATCTTGAAACGAAGGGCGTTTAAAAAAGTATTTTTTCTTTTAATCTTTTCAAACTCTCTCCCTGGCTCGACGCTCGACGCTCGACGCTCTCTGTGAGTTCTTGGTTCTTTGTTCTTTTTTCTTCTCGCGAGAGAGAGAGAGAGAGGGAGGGAGAGCGGAGGCGCCGTGCCACTGGGGTGCTGCTCTTGGGAGGAGGGATTCGGCCCATTGGGGATGGAGGCGGCGAGCATTCCAGCGGATTGGCGGTGGATTCTTTGATCGAGGATCTTGGAGGTGAGGGAAGAAAGAGCTCCGGCTATGGCGTCCGTTGGAGCGCTTGGAATCGGGCTTAGCATTGTCTTTGGCGTCTTTCTTGTGCTGCTACTGGCGGAGCTCTACTATCTCCTCTTCTGGAAGCGCAGATCTCTCATTGCGAGCTCGCGCGTCACGAGCGCCAGCGTCGCGCCGAATGATCCTTCTCGACCAGAGGTGGTAATGGGGGAAGGAGGAGGAGGAGGATCGAGCGAGACGGCGTTCGTGGCCAAGATGTTCGAGAGCCGCGGGCTTGGATCGCAGATTGGGATGATGCTGGATGGGGGCGAGTGTGTTCTTGCGCCGCCCAGGCTGCTCTTCACGATCAAGGAGGAGGCGCGGGAGGATCTCGTGGACTCCGCCGAGGACGCGCTCAAATCCTCGTCCATCCGGCTCAAGCGCGGGGGTGCCGGGCACGTCGTGGTGGAGGTGATCCAGCCCGACGTTCCGGATGTCCGCGAGCGCGAGAGAGGGCTTCTCCACGTTTGCTCCTCGTCGTCGTGCGAGGAATCTGGGAGCTCCTCCTCGTCTGGGGCATCGGAAGATCAGGACTTGGGCGATCATCGCCCAGCAGCGGCGGCGACAGAGATTTCTCTCGCGGTGGATCGTCCCCCACTCCCGGCATCCGCGGTGGTGGATGTGATCGAGGAAGAGGAAGAGATGTCCTCCGCGACGCCATTCGTGACGCCGCCATCGTCTCCAGCATTCTCCACGCCCCCCTCGTCGCCCGATCGCCCCCAGATGTGGGCGAGGCCACCGCCACCACCGCGGCCGCCGCGATTGTCGTACGAATCGCCGCCATCGCCACCGCTGCTGCCAATGCCGGTGCCTGTGTCGAGCGACGCTCCTCCCGCGGCAATGACGCCATTGTCAGTGTCCTCTTCCTCGCCGGGCAGGAGGAGCAGCAGCAGAGCCACTGCCAGCGCTTGCAGCAGGGATTCCTTCTCGTCCGCCGCGGCGATGCGATCGTCCCGGCAATCCCCATGAGCGATCGATCGCCAGTGCCGGCCTACTCGATCGATTCGATCGAGGGTAGGGAGGGATCGCTCCACACATCCATTACAACAGTGATCGATTTGGACGAGAAGGGAAGGAATGACCGATCTGGACGAGAAGGAAGGAGGAATCTCGGCGATTTGTTTGACGTGATTGATCTTGACAATGTTGGTTGTTTTTCTTCGCAAAAGGAGAAATAGCATAGCTACTCTACGAGGCGAGCGAGCTTTATAGTAGCTAGTGTACAGATTACTACTAGTACTATACCTAGGAAAGACGCTCTTTACGTTAATTCCTCTCTTGTTCCCTGGGCCCTCTCCCTCCCCTGGTTGATCCTCGCATAGGACAAAATCATGTTGTCGCCTGCTAAGCTACAGTCAACTTTAGTCAACTCTAGTAAACGATACGTCTAAAATTACCGTTAGAAGTCAAGTCAATCAGTCCAGATAAGTAGTCAATCCTACTCAGTCAACGGACGCTGAATGGTCAATGCGCGAGCTTTCTAATGGACGCGATGGTTCCCACAATGGCGAGCACCACGCCGGCCACGCCGGATAGCACAGTCAACGCGAGCTCGTGCCGGGGTGCCCTCTGGGTACCGAAGATCTTCACGAAAAAGATGGCTGGCAGGATGACGCAGGTGGTAACGCTGATGCCCGACCCGATCAACGCTACCGTCGTCTCGAACGCCGGGACCGCCAGCGCCAGCAGCAGCACCACCGCCATGATCGCGCTCCTCACCAAGACGCTGCTCCAGCTCCGCCAGGCTCCGTCACCGCCACCGCCGCCGCCGGAGAGCGATGGTGGCGACGGAATGAGAGATTCCATGTGTACTGCCAGGGTATTGACGACGAGCGCGTACTTGGTGAGAGGGATGAGCACTACCAGGAACAGCACCAGCTTGGCCACCGCGAGCTCCTTGGGCAGGCTGAGAGTCACCTGGGACTGGATCGAGGAGCCAAACATGGTGGCGCCCGCGATCGCCACCACCACGTAGATCAGCGTCGCGATGGAGAAGCTTAGAGCAGCCACCTGCGAGATGAGACGATCAGATGGTTCTTTAGAACCTTTCCCGATCGATGGAGAGCTTCTAAAGAGAAAGTTCGTCACCTTTGGGTACTGCGATGGATCTTTCATGGAGCTGTAGATCCTGGGAAGGATCACGTGTCCCGAGTAGCAAAATGCGTAGAGGCCAGCGACTTCGGCGAGCTTTGTCGGATTCACGAGCGCGATCGAGTGGTGGAATCCAATCCCGTCGACTATCCCGGCCCAGAGAACTCCCAGGACGATGATCAAGTAAGTTGCGATTCCACCCAGCGAGACATACGAGAGCCAGCTCAAGTCTCTCACCCAGATGATCGGAAGAACCGCGAGCACGCCGGCGATGGGGAGGAACTGCGTAGGCGCGAGCTCCAGCCACGGGAGATGGACACCTGCGTGTGGGAAGATCCTGACTAAGTTGTCACGCAACGAGATTGTGAAGCCCACCAGCGATCCCAGGATCTCCAAGTCAACGATCGCGGCGACGAAGGTCCGCCCGGTTCTCCCGAACGCCAGAGCTGCGACTTGCTGGAAGGTGGATGTTCCAGGTTTGCTTCCAAGGCATCGGGCGAGGATGTAGGCCGTGTAGCAAAAGATTGCGCCGCACGAGAAGAGGACGATCAGGCCGAGCCATCCGCCATTGTGGAGAGAGTATGGACACGAGAGCATCCCCAGACCTGGAAGAAGCAAGCGATTAATCGAAGAGAGACAGGAGAAATTCGAGAAGAAGAGGAGGACTTTTGGAATTTCTCCGGGAAAAGGAAGTGCAGAGAGCAATCGAGAAGATCTAGCAATCGAGGAAGGAGCGAGCTATAATTACCAACGAGAGTTCCTACGTTGTTGAAAAGCGCTTGGAAGAAGGAGCTTCGTCCTTGTTCTTCTTGCAATTCATCGCCATGCTCGAGATCTTGCGGGACGAGGAGGGGCTCCTTCGACCCACATTCCATAATTTCTCTATGCCCTAATTCCATGGCAAAATATTTAGCTCTGTCCCCATTCTAGGGCTTGGCGAGGCGGGCATGGCGAGCGCGCCCAGCGATGGAGCTCCTCCTCCCGCGACACAGCAATCCAGCGGCGGAATCCCATCATCCGCAGCTCCAGCAACGGTAGGATCGGCTGCCTCGGCGTCTGCGCCATCGCCGGCCGCCTCTGGATCAGGGCCGCCGCCCGGATCTCAGCTCCCAGTCGCGACGCAATCGGCAGTTCCGATCCCTCAGGCGGCTACATCGGTGGGGGGACTGGGATCGCCAGGACTGATGGCCGGGCAGCAGCAAAATCCCGCGGTGGGATCGCAGCCTCCAGGTCAGAATTTCTCTTCGCTCCAGCCCCAGCAGCAGCAGCAGCTCATCCAGAACGCGGTCTACCAGCAAAAGATGCGGCAGAGGGTGATGGTTCCACAGCAGCAGCAAGCTCCTCGCGGCGTGGCTGCTGGGAGGCCTTCCCAGGCGCCGGCGCCCACCAGCAACGTCTACTCGCAAGCGGTGTCGTCGCCCATCGGTGGTGGCGCCGCCGCCACCTCCATGCAGCAGCAGCTTGCGCAGAGGATAAGCTCGCAGCAAAGGCCGCAGCAGATGGCCGCGCAGAATGGGCAGACCATCCAGCAGCAGCAGCAGCAGCAGCAGCAGCAGCAAGCCAGCGCTCTCAGCGCCACCGCGATTCGATCTTCCATGTATCCCTCGCAGACCACCAACATGCAGCAGTACATGACGCAGCAGGGATTGCGGCATCCATCCATGCTCAATGGCCAGGCTTCAACAATGCAAGTAAGTTCTTCCTTTTTTCTCTATTTAGTGTTCTTTCTTTCCCTTGTTTTTTCTCTTGTGTTTTTCCCGAATTCTCTCTCTCTCTCTTTTTTTTCCACTAGGTATTTTGGTAGTTCTTATTCTTTGCAAGTTTGTGATTCACTGCTTTAATATTGATCGTCCTGATTTGGAACTCTCTTATAGCAGGTGAGGCAAAAGCAAGCGCAAGCACAATTCCAGCCAGCAGGGATTCAGGGGCTGCACCAGATGATGAGTCCTCTCGGGAGACCCTCCGGAATGCTCCAAGCGCAACGAGCACAAGGCAACGTTCGTGCGCAGCAGCAGCAGCAACAACAGCCGCAGCAGCAGCAGCCGCAGCAGCAGCTAACTTCTCCTCAGGTAGATGCGAGTTTTTCTTTTACGGATGATAACTTTGATCATGGTCTTCAGAGGTTGCAATCCGGCCAGGTTGCAAGAGCGCCATCTCCTGCACAGCTTGCTTATCAGATGCAAACGCCCCTGCAGCAGCAGCAGCAGCAGCAACCGTGGTCCAAACAGCTTTCCGCTGCGCAGTATCAGCACTTGAGGCCAGTCCAGCAATTATCTCCACAGCAGTTTCAACAGCAGCAGCAGCAGCAGCAATTAAGACAGCTCCAGAGGCCTCTAGTGTCCCCGGGTGCCAATTTTAATCCTCAGGCTGCTGGAACACCGGCGCCAGTTAACCAGCCACCGGAGCCAACCAACAGAATCCTGGGCAAGCGGAGCATTCAGGAGCTTGTCACGCAGGTACATGCAATGCTTTCTTCTCGCTTGTGACAAACCTTTTCATTCCGTTTCCTTTTCTTTCAGGTGGATGCCAAAGAGAAGCTTGAGCCGGAAGTGGAGGATGCTTTGCTGGAGATAGCCGACGATTTCATCGAAACGGTATACAGCAATACATTTTTGCTGGAAGCCTTCTAATCTTCCTCTTCCATTCGGTGGAATCAGGTGACGACGTTCGCCTGTGCTCTTGCAAAGCATAGAAAATCTACGGTTTTGGAAGCCAAGGACGTGCTTTTGCACTTAGGTACGGCCGAGCTCTCTCACAGGGAGTAACTTTAACTCTGTGCCTGGGGATTTGCAGAGAGGAACTGGCGAATCACACTTCCGGGCTTTGGTGGCGAAGAGTACAGAACGTACAAGAAACCCGTAAGCGCAATCTTCGTTTTTTCAGTGTATTAAGACGATGGAGATTTGCAGGTAGCTAGCGACGTCCACAAACAGCGCTTGGCAGTGATCAAAAAGTCACAAGCGGCCTCACCAGCAGAACCAAAAGCCGCCATCGGCAGTCCTCCAGGAATGAAACTGCCTGCTGCGTCGCCAATCCAGTCTCCTCCTGGATCCAGAATGGGATAGACACCCAAATTTTTCTTCTCCTGTAAACTAACACAGTGATCTGTATAGAGAACTCCCGCCAGGACGATTGTGATGGAAGTTCTTTGCCGGAAACGATGTAAATCCCCCGAGCCTGAGGCAGTTAAGAGGCTGATAGAAAAAGCTTCCCGCAAGCTAGTCTCGTCGCTGGGAGAAAACCTTCGGTTTGAGCTTGTGAACTAGTAGCGGTACGATGAAAGCTGCCACGAACGCTGCGAGGAACGGATCTTAGCAAAGAATAAAAGGTAAGCTTGCCGAGAACCTATGTATGTGACTGTGGCTCCCGAGGCTGCCCTTCCAACAGCAGCTGCCAAGTACAAGAAAACCACAACCTGGGATTCATAGAGATCAATGAGATGTTGTCAAGGCAAAGACAATGACAAAGAAACAAATACGATCATAGAGATCACGAGATGTTGTCAAGCCAAAGACAAGGAAGAAATACCTTGAAGAAAAGCTTGTAATCGGAGCCACTAGCTGCCACTCGGAGGACTCCCTCAGTAGCGCCAACCGTGTTGGCAATGCATGCCGCGATGGAGGTCGCACACTCTTCCGAGACTTGCCACTCGAGAGGATCGACCGGGACCCTGGAAGAGAAAACGATGAGTTCTTCAAGCTCTAAGAAAAGGAGACAAACAATCGCGCGAGGAGTAGCCAAAGTGATTTGTATCATCGCAAAGAAAATTGGAGATGCAAGCACTTACGCGATGTTGAAATTCCGGAACGCCAGGCCCAGAATCGCGAGCGACGAGACCAGAACGATGACAACATCGCAGGTCAGCGACACGAGGCTGCAATTCCTGGCCGTGCAGTGGTAATACAGGAGGCTGCCGCAAGCGAGCACCAGCGCCGATAACCCTGGCCTCTTCCACAGCAGCAGCGATCGCAATGGTGAAATCTCCGCCATGGCGCTGGCGCTGGCGCCGCCGCCGCCGCCACTGCTGCCGCCGCATTCGTTCATCCGCCCCGGATCCACAAACCCTAAAAATCCATCCCCACGCGCAAGAACAAGGAAGAAGATTTAAAGCGCCAACTCCTGTTCATCCGAGAGCATATTCGAGATGAGAATGTAGGGAGATTCCACGTCCGTACATGGCTGGCCCAGCGCCATGGCAGCCACGCGGTTGGCCCGTACGACGTCCATATGAACCCTACACGCGCCCAAGATCATCGTCCACGCCACCTCCACCGGCTCGTAGGGCATGGCGGCGATGAGCTCCTCCGCGCGATCGATCTTCCCAGCGCGCGCCAGGAGATCCACCATGCATCGAAAGTGCTCGTCGCTTGGATCCACGCCGTGATCGCCGATCATCGAGTGGAAATTCTCGCGCGCCTCGCGAAGGCGGCCCTGGTGGCTGCACGAGTAGAAGAGGCACTGGAAGCTCACCTGGGAAAGCGCTATGGCGTCCAAGGCGGCGGCGCGGAGGATCTCCACGGCGGCGGCGTGGCGGCCGTGGTGCGCGTAAGCTCCCGCCATGGCGTTCCAGCACACCACGTCCTTGCGCGGGATGGCAGCGAAGATCTCGCTCGCGACCGCGAGGCTGCCGCATTTGCCGTAGAGATTGACGAGCACGGATCCAAGCACCGCGTCTGGAGTGATCCCCAGCGCCGCGATCATCTCCTGGTGGATGTGCGCGCCCTCCTTGATCGATCCCAGGCTCGCGCACGCGTCCAGCGCGCTGATTAGCGCGACGCGATTGAGATCCAGGCCCTCGAGCCGCGTGTGGCGAAAGAGATCCAGCGCTTCTCTTCCCCGCCCCCTCTCCGTGAGCGCTGTGATCATCACTGTCCACGAGAACATGTCCCGCGACTCCATCCGCGAGAAGATCTCCGCCGCCTCGTCGATCCACCCGGCGTTGAGATACATCTTCACGATCGAGGTCTGGAGCACCACTCCCAGCGGTGATCCCGCCGCCGCGAGCTCCAGATAGATCGCGCGGCCGCGCTCCAGCGTGGCGCGGTCGTGGAGCGAGCTAAGAACCCTAGCGAAGGTCCCTTCGTCGGGAAGGATCTCGCGTGCCCGCATTTGCTGGATCAGCTCCAGCGCGCGATCGCCGCGGCCGGTCTGGGCGTAGACCGTGATCATCGCGTTGTAGAGACCGAGATCGGGGCGATCGATCGCCTGGAACGCGCGCTCGGCATCGCCCACGCTACCGCATCGCCCATACATGGCCACGATCTCGGCGCCAGTGGCGGGATCGATCGCTCCAGCGGCGAATTCGAGGATCTGGGCGTGCGCGATCCTGCCCTGGGCGAGATCGCCAGCGCCGGAGCACGCATCTAGCACCGAGCTAAACGTAATATCGTTTGGCATGACTCCTTCGAGCGCCATAGCCCGGAAGAGCCCTAGCGCGCGGGCGTGATCCCCGCGCTGGACGAACCCCGCGATGAGCGACGTCCACGCGATCACGCCGCGATCGAGCATGGCATCGAAGACCTCCATCGCGTCGCCGAGGCTGCCGCATCGCGCGTACATGTTGACGAGGCTGTTCTCCACCACGGCGTTGATCCGGAGGCCCTGGTGGACGATCCTGGCGTGCATCCATCGCCCCAGCGCGAGGTCTCGCGAGCTCGCGGCGATGCCGATCACCGCCGCGCAGGGGAAGATCGTGGGCTTGATCCCTTGCAGCTCCATCTTCCGGAAGAAGAACAGTGCCTCGAGCAAATGCCCATTCTGGGCAAACGCTACCACGAGAATCGTCCACGAGAAAGCGTTTGGGTTGGCGATGGATTGGAACGCCGCCATCGCTCGCGAGAGATCCCCGAGCTTGCCATACATTTCTATGGTAAGATTTGCCAGAAGTCTCTCGCGGCCGAGGCCGATCGCGAGGATGCGTTGGTGGAGGAGATTGGCATCGTGGGCATTTGTGTTGGTGCCGCATTCCCGGATCGCGCTGGCCAGGAGATCGCAGCGCTCGTCGTGATCTTGCGCTGCCTCTGCACGATCGAGCAGGCCCTGGACGAGGGCGCTTCGCAGAGATGAGTAGCTCCGAGTGACCGATGGGAAGATCCAATTCTTCTTTCGTCCCAAGATCATCAAGCTATGGGTCTTGCGATGATAGTGCCAAGTTTCCAGGAAGTTTTTCTTTCTTCTTAGCTCCTCTCAAGTAAAATTTCTTGCCAAATTCTCGGCACTGAGATCTAAATCATGTGTAGGCTACTCTCTTTCGCGATTCTCTTACCACCATTCTATACATTCTCCTCCGCGGCGTTCGCGTTCTCGTTCTCCCTGGGATTATCGTTTAGCCTCTCTTCCAGCGCCCGAGCCCCGCGTTCCCTGTATGAAATGAACTTCCTGAGAACTCCACCACTACGAGAAATCTGATTTACCTTCGTCTTGAGGCTTCGATCGGATCCGATCCAGGCAGAGGTCCACTGCCATCGCCGCGATCGTCTTCCAAGTTTGCAGTGCTTTGATTCCTACGCCCGCACCAAAGCTTGTCGCAAAACGTCGCAACTGGATACACGACTGGCCTGATGGAAAATCAAAACCAGAAGTGAATGAAAGATGGGTTGCGTGATTCTCAGTTACCTCATGAACTGCGGGAAGAAAGTCGAGAACGCGAACTCGTCGCTGGAGTCGCCTTTCACGTTCTTGGCCTCGGGTTTGGTTTGATGGTATCGCAAGTAAATCCAGCTGATATAAGTTCCAGGAATGATGTAAGGGGCAGCGAGGAACGCATCCGGGACGACCAAGTAGAGTACTGCGAAGAATGCGACGAGCAAGGATGGAAACCACTGCACAAAAGCCAGACAGACGTTTCAACTTCTATAGTTCTAGAAGATATTCAGAGAACACCTTTGCACGTAGCTTGATTTTTGGGAGCTCGTAATCGGGCATAAGTTGCTTCACCGCAACGAGAAACCCTGCAAGCACTCCAGAGAATCCAGAGATTGGCACATACCTGAAAGGAAAGACGACGACTCAAAACCGGAGAGAAAAGAAAGAAGAAAAACTGACAAGTATTTCCCCTGGCTCGTAACGTAGTACAAGAACACCGAGAGGGCAAAAGTGGTGATCGTAGTGAAGAAATTGACAAGGATGATGAACAGGGACATTCCTCTCGACGTCCATATAGGTTCCAGCAATTTCCCGAAGAAGACTATCCCAAGAACACTAGAAACAAGCTGCAATGATCCAACGTAGAAGCCAGTGTCAGTGACTGGAATCGACGAAAAGTCCTAGCACTGCGCTTACTTACACCCAGAAAAGTGTGCTCGAAGTAACCGGCAGTGACAACATTCCACGCGAATGGTATTGTTCTGGCGAATGGATCCCAGATCGTCAGCACGAAAGAAGCAAAGCAAGATAGAATTCCTCACCTCCCGGGAACCAATGCGAGGTACTCCACAGTCCAGGGAAGAACAAGCGCTAGAACATACCCCGTCGCAAATACCAGCGCCAGGCCTTTGGACAGGCGCGTGGATCCAAACAGCGACCAAGCTCCCTGGATGCAAATTACGCAAATGCTGCTATAGATCTAGCGAAAAATGCGAGAGATCGAGAGATATTTCTTCCTTACATCGCCAGACGCTAGCGCCATCGCTGTCTCGCAGCCCGGGAGCCCTAAGATGAGAATGGGCCATGGCCTAAATTTTTTCAAGTAGTAGACAACTTGGACGCTCTCCAAGGGTTTGTGTTATGCTGGGAGGAAACGCTGGAGTAGGGTTTGGGGAGATGGCCGCGAATGCGATGCTGGACAGGCGGCGCGAGATGGCCACCGCCGAGCAGCTAGTGCTGGAGCTCATCGTCCCGGAGCAGCGGGAGAACGCGCTCCTGGATTTGTCCAAGGTAAGATTGGATTGCGCCGGCATTCTTCTCCTCCGGGATTCTGAGCTCCATGGCTTGTTGCAGAAGAGGGAGTCCTTCCAGGAGCTCGCTCCGATGCTGTGGTACTCGTGCGGGACAATCGCGGCGCTCTTGCAGGTGTGGGTTTTTTTTTTCCTTCTTCTTCTACTTCTTCTAGTTTGTAAGCTCTTAGAACACTACCTACAGGAGATTGTATCTATTTATCCAATGCTTTCGCCTCCAACCTTGACGGCTGGTGCTTCGAATCGCGTTTGCAACGCTCTGGCTCTTCTCCAGGTCTGTGCTCTTGTTTTTCTCTTCACTTCGGTGACAATGTATCAATCCTCACGACCATGTTTTGTGTCCAGTGCGTGGCTTCGCATCCGGAAACGCGGACTCTCTTTCTCAACGGTGAGACCCAAACAACTTTTCGATCGTGTTCTTCGTCTCGTGACTTTGGTGCGGTCATTGTTTGCAGCACATATTCCATTGTATTTGTATCCTTTCTTGAACACCGTCAGCAAGTCGCGACCATTTGAGTACTTGCGTCTCACTAGCCTTGGCGTTATCGGTGCTTTAGTAAAGGTAAGCAAGGGACTCTTCTAAAGTGGTTCTTTTCGTGCGATGGATGACACACGAACCTCTTGCAGGTTGATGATACTGACGTGATCAACTTCCTGCTGTCGACTGAAATCATCCCACTTTGCCTGCGTACTATGGAAATGGGCAGCGAGCTCTCCAAGACGGTTCTCTCTCTTTTTTAAAAAGTTTTCTCCTGCTACTCCAGCACTGAAATGTTGCTCCGTCACTGCAGGTCGCGACTTTCATCGTCCAGAAGATTCTGCTGGATGATGTAGGGCTCGCATACATTTGTGCAACGGCCGAGAGATTCTTCGCCGTGAGTGCAGTTCTAGGAAACATGGTACAGGCTCTTGCAGAAACACCGTCGTCTCGCCTGCTCAAGCACATCATCCGTTGCTATCTCCGTCTATCAGACAATCCCAGGTACCTCTTTTGCGCAGGATTTGACGTTTTGTAACCTCTCGCCTTGGCCGGCACAGGGCTTGTGAGGCGTTAAAGACGTGCCTTCCAGAGTATCTCCGCGACAACACCTTCAGCAATTGCTTACGGGTAAGCAAGAGCTTTGAGACTTTTCGTTTAGAGCGTAAGATCAAGTTTCCTTCCAGGAGGATGCTGGAACTCGGCGATGGTTGACACAACTCCTGATCAACGTCGGGGTTGCTCCTCTCCATCCCCAGCGAGTTCCCGGGGGCATCCCAGGCGCGCCTTTGAGTGCCATGGAGCAGCTACTAACCGGGTAAACACACACACACACAACTTAAGAGGCTTAAGAACATCGGAGGAAAGGAACACAGGGCGGTACTTACACTGGGAGAGAGCGGCAAAATCTCGCTTCTCCCGCAAGGAAACAAGGCGATATCAGATCATCAGTCTGTCTTGACAACGAAAGTTTTGGAGTGACGCTGCTGCTGCTGTTGCTGCTGCGGCGGATTAAATTAACGCGTTCTAAGTGGGGAAGACTCGTTCGGTCGTGTACCATAGCATGGCGGATTCAAAGCTCGGTGATGGTGAAAAAAATAATTTTGGAGGGGACGTGGCAGAGAGCTCGTTTCCCTGGGACAAAAAAACGTTTTTTTTTATGCTGTGACAGTGGCTCTCGTGGAGCAAAACCATACGATGTAAGAAGTAAAAAATAAGATGGAAAGAAGGCTCGATTCTACTATAGGCCTAGTTTTTGATTAAATTATCAAGCTACATTGATTTGCACACCCACCAGCCATATGTGATCCCGAAAGAACGACGAAAACGCAACCATAGCGGGGAGAAACAAAACTCTCAAGAACACCTCCTACATGGAAAGAGCCAAGGAAAAAAGGACCACCAAAACACACGTAGTAGAAAACGAGAGGAGGCTTTTAGCGGCGAGGAGCGAGAAAGAAAGCGAAGTAAAGAAAAAAGAAAAAAGAACCTTGAAAAAACCAATAGAGATTTGATCGAGCTCCAAGCTGTGGAGCTCGATCGATCGAGAAACACCTCCTTTCTCTCACAACATTTTTTTTTTGTTTTGTTTTCTCTCTTTTGCTGCCTCTCCGCTGCTCGATCTTCTTCGTTATGAACAAGGCCACACGATGGATGAAAAGAACCAACCTTAGAAACTCTGATGATCTTGTGCTCGCTCGCTCGCTCGCTCGCTCGCTTAGATCTTTTCAATCTTGTCGGCCTTGACGACGGGATTCGCCTTGGCGATGGCCTCGCGCCCCGCGGCCTTGTAATCAAAAGAGCAATTGTGCTTGTCCGAGTACCTGTGCATGGAGCAAAACACGTCCCCGCAGCGGCACTTGAATCCGGTCAAGCCGAGGCGCTTCCGGCAAGCCAGGCAGCGATTTGGCAGCCGCGGCTTCTCCTGGGAAGCCGAGGAATCGTCCTCGGTTACCAAGGTGGTGGCGCCGGTGGCGATGGTGGTAGAAGTACGACTGGTAGCTATGGCGGCAAGAGCTTCTTCTTTCGCTGCTGGAGTAGCAGTAGCACAAGCAGCAGCAGTAGTGGTGGTGGTGGTGATCATCGTTTCCTCGAGGTGTCCGTGGTGGTGGTGTTTGCTTGGCTGGAGCTGGAGATGGTCGGTCGCCTCGTCAGCAATGGCGAGCTCGAATTGGGCGGTGGAGGTGGCGGTGGCGGTGGCGGCGCCCTGGAGGCCCTTGATCGCGGCGATGTCGATGGCGGTGGCGGGCGACGCCGGCGACACCACCGCCGCCTTGCTGCTCGACTGCTCCCGGTAGCACTTGGAGCACAAATTCATGGTGGCCACGCTGCCAAAGAAGCCGCAATTGTTGGCGCACAGCACCGGGCCCTCGGGGAGCTGGCACCCCGCCGCCTCCTCCTCCCTCTTCCAGCTCTCTTGCGCCATTCTTCCCCTTGCGCTACTCTAGATCTCCCCGCCGCCGCGCAGAATCTACCTGGGGGGAATCTCGCGGACCCAAGCGAGGCGGCGAGCGGCGAGCGGCGAGCGGCGCTGTGGTGTAGATCCGACCAGCGGCGCGCTGGATCCAGCCAAGCCCGGCGCCTCCGCAGCGATTCCCACAAACCCTCCCAGCGCGAGGAGGACGAGCCAAGGGCGGCGGCGAGCGAGGTGAAAGAAAGGAAGGAGTGAGCGAAGAAGAACAAGGACACGAGACCCTATGACACTGTCCACATTGGCGAAGAAAATGTGATTCGATTTTACATGGAAAGCCGCCCACGCTGCCCGGGCTGCCCGAACACCCGACGTGGCCTGCCCGGCCCCGCCAGCTGTTCGTTTGGTACGCCACGTCCTCCGCGGTTTCGTGTGACGTGGTGGCGCCGGGCCACGTGTATTCGTACGGGCACCTTTATTTTTTCCCGCGTACGGAGGGGAATGTTTCGTGCTTGACGTTAGGTTAGGTTTGGTGGGGGGCAAAAAATATAGGAGTAAATTTAGGGTAGGAGGAAGACGACAGGGGCTTGGCGGCATCGCGGCGTGGATCGGCCATGGATCGCCAGCAGCGATCGTGAGGAGACGGATGTGTCGTCTTCGCTGGTACTCGGATCTCTTGTTTTGTGTGGATTTAGGGCTTTGATTTGGCGGCATTGCGCCCCCGAGCGAGGGGTTTTGATCCCGTCCGTGACCAGCGGCCATGGCCAGCGGCTCTGGGAGAGCTAGGGCCGACTACGACTACCTCATCAAGCTTTTGCTCATTGGCGACAGCGGTATGGTTCTTTTGTTTTTTGTTTTTTTTCCCCCTGTTCTTTCCCTTTGTTTTTGCTCGCTTTGATGAGAATGTAGGTTCTTTTACATGGTCTAATGCGCTTCCAGGTGTTGGGAAAAGCTGCCTCTTGCTGCGCTTCTCGGATAATTCGTTTACAACGAGCTTCATCACGACAATTGGGTGAGTTCTTTGCTCTTTTACTTCTCTCTTTGTGATGAACTGAATTGCTGTTTCTGGGATTGGCAGGATTGATTTCAAGATCAGGACCATCGAGCTCGATGGAAAGAGGATCAAGCTGCAGATATGGGACACAGCTGGGCAAGAGCGCTTTCGAACGATCACAACTGGTGTGCTTAGCTTGCTACACAGCACTTGCTTTTCTTTGCCTTTTGCCTAAAAGCTCTCGGATCTTGCAGCTTACTACCGAGGTGCCATGGGAATTTTGCTAGTTTACGATGTCACGGACGAGTCGTCATTCAACAGTACGTACCAAAGTTTTTCTTACGTGCGAGAAGGAAGAACTCGACCTTTTGGCCTTGACCAGATATACGAAATTGGATCAGGAACATTGAGCAACATGCGTCTGACAACGTGAATAAAATCCTCGTCGGCAACAAGGCGGATATGGACGAAAGCAAACGGGCACGTTTTTTTCTTTCCCTTTCCTTGCAGAGAATTGACTTGGTCCGCTCCACTTGTAGGCTGTTCCAACTGAGAAGGGCCAGGCTCTCGCCGATGAGTTTGGCATCAAGTTCTTCGAGACAGTAAGAACTTTTCTAGACAAATCTCGCGCTGAGATTTTCTTCTCTTTTCTAATCCTTGCAGAGCGCGAAGACGAACCAAAATGTCGAAGACGTGTTTTTCACCATTGCCAGGGACATCAAGCAGCGATTAGCTGAGAGTGACGCCAAAGCCGAGGTCGGGTTTTGTTTTTTTTTTTTTTTCCTCCCTGGTTTTGTTTAAACTTGTCACCGCTGGTTCTTTGTATTCAGCCTGGAAACTTGAGACTCAACAGACCTGACACAAGCAGAGGTCCGCACAAGAAAGAAAAGTCATGCTGTTGATTTGATCTTTGCAACGCGAGGAAAGAAAAAAAAAACAAAGCAAACACAAGTAAGAAGGAAAAAAGAAAGTAAGAAAGGAGCCAAGAAATCTACAACTTGCCGTGTGATTTTGTGCTAAAACTTCGTACCGATTGACTCAAGAGTCGTGTTTGGAGGCCTTCTCGAAGCACAGTTCCAAGTACTCGAGCCTGGTTACAAGCGTTCGTCGTTCGGCCATGACTCTACTCAGCAATCTCTCGCTGCGCCAGTACTCTTGCTCTAGATCTTCCAGTTTTCTCTCCAGATCGATGCTGTCGTCGTCCAGATCTTGGACGGATTTTTGCAACCAGTGTACATGGTTTTCCAGCTGCAACCAAGACGACTGTGTCAGATCTCTTTTTAAATGTGGCCAACTTACGGCTTTCTCGGTGCCAAGTGGAGTGATCATCCTGAAAATGAGTGCTGACAAGAACTTGGAGTAGTGGAAAAACACGGCCGCGTAGAATAAAAGCGTCCGGCAACACGGGAGCACCAACGAGCAGTAGCCAAAGAGAAGGATTTGGAGCTCCCACTCGATCAGCGCTCCAAAGCAGTCCATTTTTGTTGATCTTTCCTCCAAGAACTCTCTTGAATTTCTCGCGGGGTTTTTTGCCACTTGTCCAGCGAATTGTCTGCCACGTCACGATAAAAAGAATTGCTACGTCTGCAAGCAACCCAACCACATTATCTAGAAGAATCGCCACGTCAGATTTACCGCCAAAGATATGGCTATGGCCGCCAAGACGCACTCGCAGTGGACGCTCTCTAGCAGCTGCTCGTCCTCGAGAGGCTACACGAGGTAAAGTTTGCGAATTTTCAGTGCTGCTCGCATTGATCTGGAACAGGATTTTAGAGCTAGGAGCGTGAAATGGAGGAGGAGCCCGAATTACCTCGCGAGAGCTGCTACAAGCACTGCCATTGTGGCCGCTGGAATCAAGTATGTTGATGGAGAGGAGGCCAAGAAGCTCGTCACGGAGGAAGGCTACAGTGTGGTCGATGTCCGCGATAAGTCTCAGTTTGATCGAGCGCATATCAAGCCATCCACGCACGTCCCACTGTTTACAGTGAACACCGATGGAGATATCAGTAAGAACTCTTGCTTTCTTTTCCGAGTTTTTCTCTGTTACCTCGGCTTAAGTTGACGCTCTTTCCATTCTTCCAGGTACCTCGATCAGGCGAGTGATGCACAATGGATTCGCCGGGCTTTTTTACGGAATAGCGTTCACAAAACCAAACTCCAACTTCGTCGCTGATGTTGAGCGGAGTTTTTCTAAAGACAGCAAGCTGTTACTCGTCTGCCAGGAAGGCTTAAGGTGAGAGTGAGAGATACACTAAGTTACCTTGGAGGCGAGCGTTTCTTTGTCTTGAACATTTGATTCTTTCAGGTCTGGACAAGCAGCCGAGAAGTTGGAAGAAGCTGGATTCCGAAACTTGGCATTTATTGACAATGGGCTGCAAAAAGTTAAGCCAGGTAAGCAAAACAAAAAAAATAAGGGTAGAAAGATTCTTAAGTTGTACCCCTGAAGCAGATCTTTTCGCAACAGAGGGTCCCAAGCAGCTCCAGGACGCAGGAAAAGCGGGCCTGGTCACCATCCAAGGCCAATTCTCCGTGGTCCTTGGGGCCATTTTAGTTTGTAAGATGTTCTTCCTGAATCGTCAGAACCGAAGAAAAACGAATCTAACTATGAAACTTTCCAGCCGCGTACCTCTTCTTGACATTGTTTCCAACGCAAGCGGAGGAGCTCTTCTTCAAGAAGTGATTGAGTCGCTGGAATTTTGTATCTGTTTATTTCGATCTCAAGATATATGATACACTTTCTAAAGGATATTTCTTCATTGTCCTTGGCCATAATTCACGCTTCCTCTCATCGTAGCGCTGGAACCGCTGCCTCGCATACTCGAGGAAATCAAAGTCAATGTCTGAGATAGCTGCCTGTAGAAAAGAAAAGATATTTTTCCAGAGTGAGATTCAAACCTTAAGCAAACTGACACAGACGCACGACATGTCACAGAAAAAGTTGACAATACGTACCGAAATTATTCCCCAGAGGCCCCAGTGCAAGTGGCTCGCAAGTTCATACAGATCAACTCGGAGCAGTAGCGTGTCCACATCTCCTCGACTCGCTTTTGATCCAGAGGAATCCAGGTACGCTTCTATGAATCTTCGCCGCTCATCTTCATCTGCCGAATGAGAGCAACAGTGTAAGCTCTCGCAATTAAAATGCTCTCTCTCGTTTTCTCGACGTGAAAAGGCGAAAAGTACTTGCCTGGGTACTTGGCATAGTCCAGGCGGTGGGGAGATTCCGTGTGATAATCGGCAGCCATCTCGCAGAAGTGATTCGCAATGTCAAACGCCACGGGATTGTAGCTGGCGTACTCGTAGTCCTGTTAAGCACCAACGTTAATTAGATTGAGAAAACTAAGGAAGAGAAAGAAGATCCACCAAGCAAAAAGGCCTTGAAAGAAACGCACTATAATGGTCAGAGCGTCGGTGGCATCGTTGTGCATGATATTCCCGTATTGTAAATCGTTGTGGCAAAACCCAATCACATCGCCAGGCTCCGGGATGGTGCTCTCGGCCTCGCGAATCTCCGACTCCAATCTCTTCATGTGGAATTCTTGCATCGATTGAGGCGAGCATAGCTTCTCCGCCTTTTGGAGCCAGTCCCTGCGATCGAAATTCTCAGTGTAGAGATCGTTTGTAAGGCTATAGCTGTGTACCTCAAGCGCTCCCACAGCTTAGGCTCGTGCGATTCCGGCAAATCCAGGCGATGGAATTCCCACATCTTGGCCGCAATCCGTGCGGAGATTCCAGGATCGCGAAGATCGGCAGCCGTGAGCGTCTGCAAGAAATTCCAATCCGTCATCGCGGTTCCAAGAACGCCAAGGGAAAAGGAGACACAAACCCTGGCATGGATGAATTCCTCCACTCGGCCATTGGGGAATCGGCCAAGAAGACGCGGCCCCTGGCCCTTGCGCGACACGAATTCGAAAATCCGGACCTCGTCCTCCCGCTTGAACAGGATGTCGACGCTGTCGCCGTAAATCCTCACCAGCGCCTTGCGCTGCTGCTCGCCGACCCTGCCGCTCCCCCCCGGCCACTGGCACTCGTAGATGTGATTCGTCATAGCTCCCTTGAGCGGCCTCCATGTCACGTCCAGAGCATCCAAGACATCCGGCCACTTCCCGGCGAGCTTGTGGAGAAGGGGGAAAACTTCGCTGGGGATGATCCCGCTTGAAACTTCGCTATCGTCGAGTGATCCCATCGCCTCGCCAAATCCAAATGAACAAACGAAACCTAAAACGAGGGATACATAAGCGCGAAAAGCGGAGCGCCACGTCATCGACGAACACGTATACTTTTCTTTACTTTTACCCCATACGTAAATGTAGATATTTGAATTTTGGGCGGGAAAGACAAGCTAGGGTTCTATGGCATTTCTCGGCCCTAAAGTGGTAGCGATTCTCGATCGATCGAGCGGTTTTGTCGAGTTTCTAGGTTTTGCGAGCTTGATTTTGAGTCGTGTCTAGCGAATCGGATGGATGCTCTACATAGGTACCGAGCTTCAATACGATAGGACTCGGAATCGCGTCACGGGGACTTCTGAAGAAAAGTCTGTGAGAAATGGTCCATTGTGGCGGCGGTCTATCCCTTATCTCCGCTTTGTACTTTTGGGATCACCATTTCAAAGCGTGCTTGGAAAAAAGAACCAAAGGTAAACATAATTGTCAATAGCTTCTCTCTCGCCCATTGTGCCAAACGTGTTCTTCTCCAGTTTGCGGTTCTCCTCGGTCAAGAATCTCGTGTCCAATCATCGAGGTAGGAAACTTTCCTTTGGCTCACAGTAGAGAAGAATTGTATGGCAGGACTTTAGTGAGTGGCCGCATTACCAGGATCTAGAAGATAACATAAACATGATACAGGAGCGAATGGTACACAGGCTTTCCTATTTTTCTATCAGGAAATCCGAAGAAATCCGTGACCAGGTCTGTTTAATCCGTTTTTACCTGCTGCTATCGTTTTCTTTTTCGTCTTGCAGGACGCACGGATTTTTTTTTTTTTTGGGAACAGTAGATTTGCAATCCAATATCTTAGATTGCTGTGAAAACCACTGAGAACAGTGCATACCAACTGTAACTCGTGCTCTTGGTACGTTTCTTCCGTGTTCTTAGCGACATTGGTATTGACCTTCCATTAAATCTAGGAAAGGAGCTGTCGCAAAGAGGATCTAGACGGCCTTGTACGCTCGACTCGTCCACCACACACGTAAGATTCGATTGTTTCATTTAGTTTGTATCGATTCTTGTGTTTTCATGGCAGGGAACGCTTTTCTTCGATCACAAAAGAATGTTCTTCAAATACAATAGAACTTACTTAAAACATGGCATTTGAAACTTGGGCGGGAAATTACTAGCTAGGGTGTTTTGGAGAGCGTCTAGGGCGGCACGAGTAAGCTAGGGCTCGCGAGTCGCGACTAGAATCCGGATGGATGCTCCACTGGGCCTCTCTGATGATGCTGCCGGGACAGACGATTGGGATGATGACGACATGGTGAGCTTGATGATGACTCAGGTGAATTCGCCGCTACAAGCGGCCTCGTCGGTGCTCCAAAACATCAGCAATTCGGGGAAAATCCATGAGAATGGTCTAAATGCGGCCGTCTTTTGTCCGATTTGCAGTTCCGAGATCACTAGCATGTCGATCCAGCAACGCGAAAACCATTCTAATTTGTGTTTGGATCAGAAATCACAAGTAAGTCTCTCTCAATGTCTTTCCTTTTTTGTCTTGTATTCCTCAATCATGTTTGTGATTTTTTTGTTCTCAGCATTGCCAGAACGATGTGCCATCTGCGGTGGAGTGTTTGGAACAAAAATCACAAGTAGGTTTCGTCTTTCCTTTCTTTTCTTGTATTCCTCAAACACGTTTGTCACTTTTTGTTCTCAGCATTGCCAGAACGATGTGCCATCTGCAGTGGAAGAAGATCAGGTACAGAGATGAATTTGTCTTTCGTTTCTAACTTCTATTTTTTCGTGCTACCAGAATTTGCCAGTTGATGTTGCTCCGGTGGTCAGGTTTCTGGAGAAGCTTAACTTGTCCAAATACGTATCGTTGTTTATCAAGGAAGAGATCGACTGGGACACCTTGCATTGGCTTACAGAGGAAGTAAGACGAGTTTTCTAGATTCTGTTACGTCACTGAATTGGCTGCATTCTCAGGATCTCCGTAGCTTGGGAATCGATGCTTTTGGACCACGGAAGAAGATTGTTTCCGCTTTAAGGGAGATGAAAACACCTTTCTCCACTGAAGTTCCAGTTCCGGAGAATGACACGCACAAAAAAAACGATAACGAAGAAGACGAAGCTCTGCTGCCGCAGTCGGGCAAAAAGTATATCACAGATTTTTTCGGAGCTACTGGAGGAACAGGAGGCACAAAACCCGCTTCTGGAAGAAAGAGAAACGGTGATGCGTCACTCAGTAAAACTCGGAAGAAACCTTCCAATTTATTCAAAGCTGCCGAAGCACGGCAGTGGATGAAAATTCCAGGCACAACGTTCAGAGTGGTCCGTCTGATCTGTTTTCTATTGTTATCTCACGACTGAGTTTGCAGGATGCGTTCAAGCACACGACTACCGAATGTTCCCATTGGTTTCTCACTCATTTTCACAGCGATCGTAAGTACTCATTCTGTTACTCGACTTATCTTGCTTGGCTGTTTTGTTTCAGACTATCAAGGGCTTACTAAAAGCTTTCGGTTCGGAAAAATCTACTGCTCCATGATAACTGCGCGCCTTGTGAACTTGCGAATAGGAATTACGTGGGATCGCTTACATCCTTTAAACTTAAACGAAAGAACAAAGATCGACGGAGTATGGGTGACACTCTTGGATGCAAACCACTGTCCAGGTGCGGCCATGATCCTTTTCGAAACACACGATGGTAAGGTGTGGCAGCTAGTTTTCGCGAAAAGTTTCAATGAGAACTTGACATTGTTTGATGCAGTTTGTCTTGCACACGGGAGACTTTCGGTTTTGCGATGACATGGCAAGAATCATGGATATCTTACCATGTAGATTGTCTGCATTGGTTTTGGATACAACGTACTGCGATCCTCAGGTATTCGAAGGAGTTTTAAGTTCCACGGCTCATACGTGTTGCATGTAGTACGACTTTCCAAAGCAAGAAACCGTCATTCAGTTCGTTATTGATGCCATTCAAGCCGAATCGTTCAACCCGAGTACTTTGTTTCTAATCGGAACTTACAGTCTGGGTAAGTTTCTCTTTTTTTTGCACAATTTTTAGAGACTGACCTTCAAGCTACCAGGAAAAGAGAGACTGTTCTTGGAAGTCGCTAGAGTTCTTCGGAAGAAAATATACGTCGGAGCTGTCAAGCGCAGAATGCTCGGCTGCCTGGATCTCAGCGACGAGGACATGGACTGGATAACCACAAGCGAGTGCGAGAGCAGCATTCACGTCGTCCCGCTCTGGAGCATTGCGAGCTTCAAACGGATGGCATCCATCTCCCGGCATTACCACGTAAGCTCCAGCCGCTCCAACCTTAAGTCATCCCTTCGCGTTTTTGTGAACAGGGAAAATACACCACCATCGTCAGCTTCTCACCGACAGGGTGGAGCTTTTCCAAAGGGAAAAGAGGAACTGGGAATGGCAAGAGATGGCAGCAGGGAACTATAATCAGGTAGTGTGATCTCTTAAGTTGTCAAGGATCGCGAGCATTTCTTTGATCGCTCTCTCTTTGATCTTTGCTAGGTACGAGGTCCCTTACAGCGAGCACAGCAGCTTCACGGAATTAAAAACATTCGTGAAGCTTCTCTCGCCAGTGGAGATCATTCCAAGCGTGAATAACTCCTCGATCCAAGCAGCCAAATCCATGGTAGCCTCGCTAAGGCCTTAGCCAAAGAATAGTAAAGGAAGAGCTATGGACGAAATTCGAGCTTGCGATTGATTTCTTTGTCGTGGATGAGATTTGAGCCCGCGATCGGTTGGTTTGTGTTGCCCTAAGAGGTAGGAGCGATGGCGATGGCGCTGCGGCAGGCTCTTCTTCGCAAATCGCCTTTCAATTCAGTGCCCCGGCGCTCTGTCAAGTACAATGCCGTGGAACTCCCGACGAACAGCTACAATCGCTTCGCGCTGAAGAGCCAGGAAGAGGTGGAGCATGACCTCCGTAAGTATCTTCTATCTTTTTGGTCTTTTTCCCACTCTCAAGCGCTGGATTTCCATTTCCTAGATGAGATCAGCAAATGGAAGAAGATAACTCTCGGGATGATCATCGTGTGCCTTTGTGATGGGTTCTATGTCTACAACCATCCGGAAGTTCATGAGCCCAGAAAAGTACGTTCTAAGAGTTTTTCTTCTTTTCTTTCCCCTTCTTTTCTCTCCTTTTATGATTTTCTTTTCTTGCTATCCCTCGCAGGAGTATCCATACATGAACGTTCGCCACAAGGATTTTCCATGGGGTGAGTATCTCAGCTTGGAACTAAGTATTGAGCTTTTGACTTTTTTATTTTCTTTTCCAGGCCCGGATCCTCTCTTGAAGACGCTGTTTGGCACGGAACATTGAATGGAGCTGGCTAGGAAATAATCCTCCGGATGCTAGCAGAATCAATAATTCTCACGCTTGGTTCTTGCTAGAGGTCCGTTGATCCATGTTCTTGTCGATAAACACGTTCTGTGCAACCTCTTTTTTACTTCAGAATCCAGACCAAAGTTTTTGGAAACGTCTTGAAAGAAACTAATGCTTTCCAGTTGTATTTTTTTCCTAGGTGAACATCTTTGACAAAACAGCGTGCTATTGACTTAACAGCTCTCGATCATCCATCATCCAGCCATGATTGATCATCATCGACAGACCTCAGCAAAGAACTTCTAGAATTCAACAAAAGGAATTTATAGCAAGAGTACATTCGAAGGTTTGTAATAGAACCTCCATCGTTTTATGCTGCGCTGACTTCGTATCATTGCAGGAATCCCAGCCTCTGCAAGACTAGCCTCGCCTGTTCTTGAGATAGAGCTGGAGAAACTCCACTATCATCCACCGGGAGAGAGAAGAGGCTCGACTGGTACTTTGCGGGATGAGCTCCGCTGAGCAACTCAAGCGATGTCGTCAAGCCGAGGACTTTGCCGTGGAAGTGAGCCACCGAGTGTTCGTATGGAGCGACGATCTCCTTCCGGTGCCTGTAAAGCAGTGCTCGCACTGCAGCATCCTGGCCTGCTAGCGCTCCCACGACGCCGGCGACGAGCTGGAGCAGCAAAACCGAAACCAAGTCACACTGGTAACAAAGATCGATCCAGTCCAACTTACCGCTTTGGAGGATTTGGAGTGGAGCTCCGGCAGGATCCCGACTGAGAGCGATGTGGCCAGCGGTAGAACAGTGGAGCTCGCGACGAGAGCGCTCAGAGGTGTGGAGAAAGGATCAAAGGCCGGGCTCAGCACCTCACCGAATGCTGCATGCACGATCCTTTGGAAAGCCAGCTTGGTCGACGCAATCTCCGGGGCCTCGACGCCATCTCCCAGGTGTTTCTGGATCATCCTGCCAAGCGAAAGAGAGAAGAGTTTGCTCGATCAAAGCTAGTGTGATCTCCGACGATCAAACCTTGTTTGCAACGCGGACTGGATGCCAAACTCGGAGATGATATCCATTGTTAAAGCCTCCTCGCCGGAGAAGTTTGCGCTCTTCTTGGAAGCGGCAGTCACGTACAAGCGCTGCAAATGGTTCATCACTGTGAAGATTTGTGTCAAGGGAAGTTTTGGATGATGGGCTTTCCCACAGCAGGGAGAGCAGTGGGATGGCGGTGGTGGTGTTTGGCGATGGGAGGGACAGGATGGAGGAGATGGGCAAGTGTGACGTGGGGGCGATGGCGGCGGGCACGGTGGTCGTGGTGGCGGAGTATTGGGTGGCGGACACGGAGGTGGAGGTGGTGTCTTGGAAGGTGGCCGAGTTCTGGGTGGTGGCGTTGGACACGGAGGTGGAGGTGGAGGTGGCGGACACGGAGGGGGTGGTGGCGGTGGCGGCGGTGGCGGCGGCGGCGGAGTTGGACACGGAGGTGGTGGCGGTGGCGGCGGTGGCGGCGGTGGCGGAGTTGGAGGTGGACACGGAGGTGGTGGCGGAGGCGGCGGAGGTGGCGGCGGAGGCGGAGTTCGAGTAGGAGGTGGCGGACACGGAGGCGGTGGCGGCGGTGGCGGAGTTGGAGGTGGTGGACACGGAGGTGGAGGTGGCGGCGATGGCGGGGGCGGAGTTGGCGGGGGCGGAGTTGGCGGGGGTGGAGTTGGAGGTGGGGGTGATGGCGGGGCCGGAGTTGGCGGGGGTGGAGTTGGAGGTGGGGGTGATGGCGGGGTCGGAGTAGGAGGTGGCGGTGATGGCGGGGGTGGAGTTGGCGGAGGCGGATGCGGTGGCGGAGGTGGTGGCGGACTTCTGGGAGGAAGTGGTGATTGTTGACCGCCAGCCACGCTAGCGGTCAATACAAACACCAGAAAGGCCAACCACACCATGGTTATTGGTTGATGAAGGACCTAAACCAACAAGACACTTATATATACAAAGCAACCATGCAAAGTTCCTCACATTAATTTTGTGTCTCCCATTGTGCATGCTATGTCTGATACTTACAAAGAATGAAAAGGTAAGATGGAAAGGTAAAAAAGAAAATCAACCGAGTTGAAAAGGCACGGCAGATTCTGGGCTGATTCTATTTACTCGAGTTGTGCCCAGTATGTATTCTGGCAGCTCGTCGTCGTCTTTGGCCTGGAAGAAATCAAGATAAAGTAATCTCCAAAACTTTGAAGAAACTTTGATAGCTTTGGTACCTCAACAACAATCGCAAGATCGACAACTATTTTGGTGACATATCCCAGCACTAGCCCGATAACTCCTCGTGCCACGGAAGAGGATCCTATATCCACATCAACCTGAAAGAAGAAACGTTGTTTAGATCGAAAAGAAATGCTCGAGCTTGCAAACGAACCTCCAAGTAATTGTCCTTCCTATAGTAATGGCAAGTTACTGCTCTTCCTAAAAGGCACGCCTTGGTGCCAACAGCTCGTCTTACGACCCAATATCCCTGCGAGAATCCAAACGAAACAATGCGAGTAAATCCTAGACTACAAACAAATTCATAGCATATAAAACTTAGCCTCACCTCCACGATGCTTGGAATGAGCTTGAACCGCGAGTTTCTAAACGAGTCATCCCCATTCGCAAACTTCTCAAGCAGTGAGCTTGGCCTAAGCGAGCGATCTGCTGCGTAGTAAAAGACCAAGCTGTAGTTTGGCTTCGCGGGTACCTTCGGTAGAAAAAGCAAGATCATTGAAGCAGATTTTCGCAAAACTTACCTGCAGGTTGACGATCAAAACAAATGGAAGTTTTTTGCCTGCTTCTGTCCGGACGATACTTTGTGGATGCCTCGCAACCAAGTCAATTCTGTGAGCGGATTTGTACCAGTCGACGGCTAGAAGCTTCAAGACTGGCTCTCCCCCAGGAATCTGACAAGGAAAGGCTAAGAACATTGTCACAGTGTTGAGAAAGAATGGTACCTTCAGATTATCTCTCGTATATGTTCTACCCCGGACCATAAAACCTTTTCCACCGGGGTCCTCCCAACAGTTACAATCCTTGGACGGAGACGCAGGTTCTAGTGAGCCTTTGAATGCGTTTACATCCAGGTTGATTCGTGGCTCGTCGGCTAGTAGTGGATTTTCCAGTTGCGCTGGAGAGTTAAAAGAAAACCGTGCTAAATTTTTAAGACTCTAAAGATGTTTTACCTGCAGCAAGTGCCAGCATTGCGCTCCATGGGGCTCTGCTAAGTCTATGGCTCCCTCTCTGCAAAACATAGTTGTGAAAACGTGGTCTACGTAAAAGAAAGATGCCATACCTGAAACGGGATATTGCTAATCAGCCCTTCGGTGTCATCACCGGCATCTGGATCCTCGGAAACAATCGCATCAATGAAATCTTCGGTAACTTCCGTGTCTGCAGCAGTTTCTAAAGGCTTGGCCGCTTCCTTTGGAACATTCAAAACAGAAATTCGATCTTCTAACAAGCTCAGCTCCGCTTCAGCCTTGAAAAACTCTCTCAAGCCTGTAGAGCAAAACGATCAACAAATGAGTACAAGCATTACCAAAAAGAACCTGCTGTGCGACAAAGCAATATATACGGCACGGTTTTCCGAAAAGAGGAGTAATCACTCTTTTTCCATTTGCCCCAGCTTTTCCTCCACCTCCCCCATCCTGTGGATTCAATCTCCATAACCTGTGTTACTAAAGATCGAGAACCCGTGGTTCCTGACCTTGTCGGCAACGGGTTTATCTCCCAAATACCAGCTGCATGAGACCGGACGTTAAACACTTTGACAAAGCAGCAAATACGACACTTACAGTTTAAAACAACACGACGTAATCCAGGTCTTTTCGGTCGATTTCTGTGAAGAGTGCTAATTTGCGTGATAGCTGCAGCCAACCTTTGCATAAACTTCGGGTTATGTCCGTAGAAATGAACTTACAATAAGAGCCATCTTGATCACGGCGCCAATAACGCGAAATCAGAAAGTCCCGTCTTTTGTATTTTCTATACCAGCTCCAACTGCAAGAACTCCATTTGAATTGTAACTAGAGAAGTAGCAGGACTACTTACTTCTCGAAATATTTTGGATCGAAAGTCCCGTAGACTATGTCCGCATGCCCGTCGATGTGCTCAACAAGCTCCAAGTCTCCGGTTAGAACATCCCACCTGGATTACGAAACCAAAAACACTGGCTCTTGTCAAACAAGCTACGAAACGAGAGGCAGAGTTCGATCGGAAGTACTGATGTCTTTGCGACTTGTCTAGGCTCATTACAATCTCAAAAACTGCATCCGGCGACGCATCAACCACGCCGACGGATTTCATGATCGTGCCTCTATCAGCCTGTAAGCAAGCATCTAACATGAGCTGAAGGAAAGCTCTGATCTTAGCAAAGAAAACACACTTGAAGAGCAGCCACGTCCTCAAACATGCGCAAGCCTGTAATTACAGTAGCTAACACTCGCTCGTCAAAAACGGAAAGTTTTGACAGACCATTTTGAGTTTGGAAGCACCTCCAGTCTGCTTGTTCAACGGCATCACCGTCACGCTTGTTGAAATAATCGTCAGTGTCAGCTTCCTGAATCATCGATGTTCGTGCCCTCATGAGCATTTCAGGCCCTGGAACCTTCCGTCAACTGCATCTATCTCCCTCAGATCTGTGTAAGTTTCGTTACCTTTTCCAATGGTAATAAGTCTGCTCAACCGCGACTTTGATCGCATCCGAGGCAAAGTCTGTTTACTCCTGCCAATGCTCCAGATCAGACACACGGCGGCTGGAAAAACTGGCACTTACTCCTCCTCAGTGAGCGAGGGAGCGCGGGCTGATGTTTTTCTAGCTTCAAGTTCGGCCTAGAAAGGAGAAAAGATCAGCCGAGTTACAACTAAAGTCAAGGAAGTCACCTCGTCTTTCGCATGGCGAAACGCGGACATCCATTTCTCTATCTCTTCGGCACTGGAGCACGCAAACTGCGCACACATTCTCGATCACTACCACCACTGGCCTGAGAAAACCACTACAGTACCTGTACATGCTTGCTGTGATCTCGTTTACTGTGGATCTTCATTCCATAAAGTACCTGACGAACACGATCACTGTGAAGTTTCTGAAATGGAGCTAGCTACTTCTTTTCCTGTAACACGCACCCTGCCGTAGACGATCTGGCGGCCAATCTCCGCGACCATCAAGTTGTGTCTAACAATCCCCTTCTTCATCGGTTGCTGCATCGATCGAGAAAAAAATTGTGAGCTTCATTCATGGTAATGGCAGGAGACTAAAAAAATTTACCAGGCCGGGCTCTTCCTGTGGATCTCGCTTATACATATCCACGCATCTCCCTTTGATCACCAGGTATCGAGCGTGACAGTACTGGAGGTCCTTGGAATTGATTCCAACATGGTAGACCCATCCGGCATAAGCTTGTGCTTGGGCCATTCTCCGCGCGTAGCCGATTTCCTTTCTCTGCCATCACAGCCAAACTAAGACTTGCGAAGCTAAACAAATGATCGAATGGCTTCCAGCTGGAATCGCCTGTAAACTAAAGAAATATTTTCTAGCTCGTCGTGAAATGCGTGCGAGACAACGTGATCGCAAGGGGGCCGCATTGCCATAGATCGAGAAAATAGGCTTACCGCGATTGCTAAGCGATCGCATTGAGAAGGTGAAGAGACGTGGTCGCCATAGCCAGCGATTAGGGCTCCGAGCTCATGGACATAACGGCAGTTGCCTTTACCCCAGTTTAACCGGCCTTAAAGCCCGCTTATAGGGGGGGAAATATTTCTAGGGCTCTTGATGGATCCAATTCTCGGCGCTTCGGGGGCCCCGCGCGCGGATCTCCAGCGCCGAAGCTCCTTGCCGGAGATGTATGGGAAAATGAGCGATGTCAGCTGGGCATATTCACGGTTACACTTGGAAGTTTTCCATGAGCAATTTTGGTGAGATTGAGCATTTTCCATGTGATCTTGAGTGTGAGATTGAGGTTGCGAAATTCCCTTACTCCGAACAATACTAGCCTGGTTGGATCTGTCCCATTTTATAGATATCTTTATTGAGAAATTAGGAAGTGCATTCAAGATTTAAGCTGGTTTCTGCCAACCCCATAAAAACCACGTAAAAATCAATATCAATGTCCAAGACTTAAAAGCTGGTTTCTAGGTGTTGCAGAGAACCACGTGGAAGTCTGTTCCAAAAATTATTAACATGGGAGAGATTGCCACCATGTAAGCATTTGAAAAAGCTCCAAAGTTAAAATAGTGAAGAAATTTATACCATCTATCATTATGCTTACAGGATTGTTCTTACATGCTTCTAGCAAGATGCTCGGCATTTAAGTCGATTCTCCCTGTTAGAAATAAAGAAGATCACTAGTGGGATATCCTATCTCATCAATTCCCTTAAAAAGCTCTCATTTTACTCTTCAGGTAGTGCTTTGGTTCCCCTTAAACCCTATAGCATTAATGCTACCTAGCTGACTCAAGACCAATCTATTGCTTTATCATCTAAATTCATGCAATATAAGTAGAAACAGATTTTCAAAACCATCATTGTGGTGTCCGGGGCTAATAGTTATGGAACAATGTTAGTAATTTCAAACTCTTTGGAATTGATTATGTCTCATGGTAAGAAATGTTACAATGTTATATCAAACATTGGAATGTTTCAGTTCCCCTTCACAGTCATAATCTCATAATGTATATAGAAAGTGTCTTTTTAATCCATGATTGGTATTTCAAGCTTAGAAGATTGTTTGCCTTTTGAGACAAGTGTCATCAGTGGCTTTATCTTGATGAACCATATGTGTTACAATCAAAGAATGGACGTTATCAAGCTATGATTGCAACTTTGTTCTATATGACTAAATGAAAGAAAAGAGAAATTCTCAACTCAGAAAGGTGTGGGACTTGTTCTTGGTGTGTATATACAACCTCCATGCCC